AAATCATCAATTTAGTGGCAGCAACCCAACAATGGGTTGTTAGATTCATCTGAAAATTTCAGGGCTGATAGAACTTGACCTAATGAACATTTTTACCTCATGTCAGATTTGCTCTTAATGCTTTAGTTTTTGAGATATAAGCTAAAAACTGCATTTTACCACTATGTTCTATTTTTAGCCATGGTGGCCATGTTTTTTGACGAAACAGATAATAAAACATAAACTTTATTCTAGATACCCTAAGGATCATTCAGCTAAAGTTTGGTTGGAATTGGTTCATTAGTTTCAGAGGAGAAGATGTTTGAAATAGTTTACAACGGACGGACGACAAATGACACCAAGTGATGGCAAAAGCTCACATTTCCTTTGGAAAGGTGAGCTAAAAAAGCATATGCATCTATCATGGGAATTTATGAAAAGGTGGTTTAGTGTGTTTAATGGGAAGCTTCAGTCTTTGGATGCAATTTTTACACAAAATATTATATTGAAGGCTAATATTATGTTCATGATTATGAACCTTGCTTTGTTCATGACCAAAATGCTGAATAAATGTTTTAATGTGCTAGTTTACAAGCTTACAACTTATAGACTCATCATACCTACCTTATCAGGTAACTCAATTACAACCAAGGTGTTTGTTAAATTTCACCATGAATTTTTAACTACACAGATAAGATTTAACAAGTCCAGTAAAATTTTATCGATATACGATTTTTGACTGAAAATTTTAGCACCATGGGCGAGAAATATAGGACAGCACTAAGACTGATAGGTATAAGGACCACTCTCCAATATTATATTGGCCTTTGGAGAACACTGAGTTTGGTCGACGTAAGTTCTACAGTACAAAAGTTATGCTTTTCTTCCTTTCTATGAAAAAAACCTAATAAAGTCCACTAACACTGTTGTCTGAAGATGTGGAACTATAGCCAAATAGGATAACTTTCTTTTAAACTTTGACCAAGACGAATTTTGAAGAAGTAAAAATCACTTCTCAAAAAGTTTTGAGGAGTAACTATTCTTTCTTGGCAGCAGTAGAGTGGATTTCAGTTACTTACATAGCCATTTTTTAGATAGCGAAAACGATATGCAGTTGATATGCGAAATCTGAAATTACGAGGTCAACCTCCGAAACCCCCGAAAAAGGATGGAGAGCTATGCTCGATATGTCACAGTATTAAATCAAAGAAATATATGTATCTTGTTAAATTCAATAAAATATATTTGTCTCATATAATATTGTTTTAATTCTTTTAATATAGATTATAAACAATGGTCAGTCTGTTTTTTATGTGTTGTTTACTGGCGCTTCCTATTGTCTCCATGACAAATGAAATTATAAAAATAGAATGTTATCGATCTATAAATAAATTTTTCAATGAATCGTATGTAAAATATGTTTATAGCTGTTGCAAAGTAGTAAAGGGGCCCTTAGCTTTATAGGTTTTTGTTTGATGCGAGTGTATGTATAAAAGTAAAAATAACACGATACGGTGTAAAAAATGGAACAACAAAACAATGCATACACTGTAAACTCTGACCTTTTGTCAAGTGATCAAAATTTTGACCTAAAAAGCCATTAAATCGTTTGTCGTCTAACTACAACAACTTCATTTGACAGGGCCAGTTATATAATAAAACGGAATAATATAATAGAAAGGAATGAAAGCATTATTAGTGATCAATGCATGACTGCCAAAAGTCTGCCACATGACTGCTACGTTTAAACGAAACTGTAATAGGTATGATTCATGTAAACAAAGTTGCACAGAGAAACGTTCGTAATAAATTCTTGAAATCTACTTTTTGTTTACAGTTTAAAATTACCGCCAAACGATATTCATGCACAATTTGTCATATGGCAAATGTAAACGACTTGTACATAGAAATTTTTAGCGATGAAATATTTCATACAATAGTTCTTTAACATCGTTATCAAAAGCGCAGAATATAAAAAAAAACAATGTTAGGCTTTCCATTGAGCACTCTTTCCAATGTGCAAAGTCATTGATTTTGGGTTGTTCGACGATCATTTAAGGTTATATTGGACTTATTTATTGTATTCTAGAACTAAAAGCATAAAAAAACTGTCCAATTAGTTATACATAACCTACCAGCCTGCTAGATAAGGGCAATGGCACATATTTTAGTATTCCAGAGGGAAAAAGCAAATCTAGAGTGCTGGCATAAAAGTGCTTATTTGCTAAGGTGCAACATTTAGGGGTAGTTGCCTAAAGATGGATATTGGAAGTAATTGGATGAATATTTTCATACTGTTTCAGTTTTCTTATATTCATTATAGAATAAAGAGACAAAATGAATAAATATACATTAACAAGTGGTAAGAAAATTCGAAAATTCAGAATTTCATGTCATTTTAAGGGCTTTTCCCCTCTCAATTTTGTGACAGGATATTACAGTGAAGAATGTATAAGAGCAAAATGCAGTCATATGACTGCTCACATCAGTCAAATGAATCATTTTTTGAAAAATAAATGTGTAAAAATAATTTGAATACTAAAAATTGTCTTTTTCGTTGATTTTTTTTGCCCCAAAAATCTAGAAAAAAAATTGTTGGACGTAACAGTGTCTGTCCAAATCTTGCTGTAGTATTTGAAGTGACCTATAGAAGCAAATAATTATAATAAATGCTTCTCAATATAATATTTGACCAACTTTTGTTCTAAAAAGGAAATGAACATATGCACAGAGAAGAAAATCATTGCCATCCGAATCAAAACACATAAAAATGAAAATCTTGCTTCATGTCTGTCTCATGAAACGGACAACATTTTAATAGGTAAAAATGAATTTTTGGGAGTATGCCAAGTCTAAAGTCATTGCAATGACAGTTATGATGATGTACTCAGTTTAATATTCACATTGCATTCCATGATATGCTATGCTAATTAGCTGTAAAATGAAGGCTTACATGGAAAAGAAAGTGTGTCTGTCCTTATAAAATCTTTGGTTCGTCCAACATAAGTTTGTGTCTGTCTAAGAATATTTCTGTTCGTCCCAACACCAGTGCGAGTCTGTCATTTGTTGGTCTAATTCTAACAGTGTTTCACTTGTACAAGACAATTTTGTACATCAGAATAGTTACATGTATGTGTTTTATTGTAACACTGGTTGTTTCATAAAGCAAAGTCCTCTATTTATTGCAGGAAGTCTGTCCTGATTCATCACAACACCACTTTCAAAATATAAATTTTTTGTCAGTTGTCTCTACAGACTTGTGTATTTAATTATGCACTAATCTCCACTGAAATGTAAAGAGATTGTTTTTTTTAATCCACAATTGAATTTATTTCCATTTATAACAATAAATTCAATTGAATATATATGTCTTCATGTTTGTCCAACACTATTCAATTTGCTGTCTGTCCACCGTTAGTCCAACACTAATCAAAAAGCTTATTTTTTTTCATTGCTTTTAGTTATGAGTATATATCAATAAGAGAATGATGTGGCACACATAAGAGAAGTTATCTCAAGAATAAATACACCATAACTTTAAAAATACAGAAGAGCATACATATCAAGCACAGGGATACTTTCTAATTTCTTTTAAGGTACAATTCAACAAAGATTGTTCTGTTTACTTTTACTTTAGGGGTCCAAACCCAAAGAGTTATAGTAACCTTTCACCATAACTGTAAACCTACAAACCCTAACCTAATCCTAACCATAAATAAACACTTACTCTAACATTTTGAATTAAGATTATCAAGTTGAATATAGATACTAGTAAAAATAATTTTATAAGGAATGCATAATGTAATTTTATTATTTAATTGTGCATTCATAATTTATATGGTTGATGGATCTGATTCTGATTAATGCTACATGTAATATACTAAATATACATGTACACTGTGATGTTTATTGTTGTAATTATCAATTATGTCAATCAATTGTAACTGATTTCTATGCCCTTTATATATTCTATTCTTTTCTAATTCAACCTTAACTAAACTATGGTAAGAGCTTGAAGTAGGAAAATATATGTCGCTAGCCATAAGGTTGCCTATAATTGCTTACATCCACTTCATTTGAACTTTGGTCGATACATGTAGTTGTTTCATCAGCAATCATACCACATCTTCTTATTTTTACATTGATAAATGAGGGTAGGAATGCCCTTTACTGTCAGTCGTCAATTGGTCATTTCCGGCTACTGTTAGCATCAAATTGGTTAAAATTTTATTGTGATTCATCAAACATTGTCAAAGTATCCTTTAATATCATGATTCATCAGAGTTCTCAAATAATTAACCGTTACTGTTATTTTTGGAAATAATTTATCATGAGTTGTCAAAATCAGTCGATTTTTTTATGGTCGTACATTTTATTGTAATGCACCAAAAATTACCGTTAATGTCATTTGGCAAGATTTTTTACCATTATTCGTCATGAAGGTAACCCCATTAAGACCCTCATAAATTGTGAAATAAAAAATGACAGTCTACATAAACCGACCAAACTGAATAAGGGTGTTTCTTCTAAGTATTTGCATAACTTAATATAGAGTTTTTCCTACTCCAAGTCTTTAAATACATATATTAATACAGGGGCGGATTCAGGTGCGGGTGTGGCTATTGGAAATAGATACTTCGTTCTCTTTCACAGGTTATACCTGCCTGATATAGTTAAAATACCCCATGTGAAAAGAAAAGGCACAAGAAACCCAACTAGTCCTTTGTCTTTCTGCCTTTCGTCTGCTTATGAAGACTGAAAATCCTTTTTCAGTTGAAACGAAGAAACTTGAGAATGAAACAGGGATCCAGAGCAAATTTCTTTTGTAACGTGCTGATAAATTTGTATCATATTATGATTTAAATCATTAATTTAATCTAAAATTTTATAGTTTCTACACGAAAAACATTAAATTATTTATGTTTGCATTATTTTTTTCAAAGGATCTTAATTTTTACATACTCTGTTTAAAAAATATTTATTATAAAATATAAAATCAACACGATAACTGGTTTACAGTCTGGTTCCTTGGTTGTGATTCTGTCCTCCATGGCTTGAAACTGCTCATTTGGTATCAGGCAATCAGGCTGATGATGGCTTCAGGTGTGGTGGTGAAGACGAAACGAAAAGGAAAATTTGCTGGTAATTAAGAACATGATTTAAATGAACAAGTTACCTTTTTGAGTATTAGACACATCATTCATCTATCGAGAGTAAATAGAGTCAATTAACCAATCAAAGTCACCACTAGCAGTACATGTACATTTGTCATTTCTTTCTTACTGTATGTTCACACAACTCTAAGATGACACACTGTATTAATTATCCTTGATTTCTTTCATTATGATTATTTTATTTTTTATACACAAATCAGGATATGAAGAAAAGTTTATATACTTATAGTTTTTGCTTTTATCAATAGTGTTTATTCAAATACTTGCAACTTGTAGTGACTTTTATTTAGTTTTTATTCAGACTGGGGGGGTTATCAGTCTGTGTCAAATATTTATTATAAGCAAATGTTACCTTGTAACATATGTGAAAGAGGACGAAGTCTACTGTTTGTTGAGGAAATTCATGTTTTATTTCTATCATGTTTGCATTTTGGTGAAGGTAATAATTTTTCAAATTGTTTTCAAAAACTTGTCTGAATGAGTTAAAAAGTGCACATCAACTGTAAATTATATTTATAAATAATTATTTCCTAAATGTAAGATAATTATCAAAGCATATTTTTGTTTTGTTATAGAAGAGGATTATTTTATTTGTACATGAAAGAAAAGGGGAGATAAGTAATTTGATTGATGAGCATCTTTTTGTTTAATAATAAAAATAAGAAGAGGTGGTATGATTGTCAATGAGACAACTCTCCACCAGAGACCAAAATGACATAGAAGTTGACAACTATAGCTAACCAAATGGCCTTCAACAATGAGCAAAACCCATACCGCTGAGTCAGCTATAAGAATAGCAATTAACCACATCGTTAATGACTTTATTGACTAACTTTCACTTTTAACTTAACTAGATTCTTATTTACTTTCACTTTCTATAAAAGGCATTCTTTAGTATCGTCAGATCATACGTTTTCATACGTCATATACATTGTAAATTCGTACTGTTAATGCTTTTTCAATGGAAATTGTGAAGTCACAATGCATTCTTAATAGCACGAAAACCCATAATACATGTACGAGGATATTGATAGGTCAGAAAGAAATTGAGAGACAAAAGATATTGACTGCAGAGATATACATTGTATGAAGGAAAAATATTGTTAGGTTCTATGAATTAATGAAAAGTAAATGATAAATTCATTCTTGTTGGCCTATCTTAACTCTCTAAATTTTAATGTCTATATTTTAAAAGTGATAATTCTGTACATGTACATATGTTTAATATTGTTCATGCATTATGTTTGTTTATATTGTTTGTGTGTACTACTGCATAACCATGCATCATGAGCATACCTCTCAACTGACGCGGATCCTGTGGGTGTGACCTGAGATTTTCACAATTCTGAGGGGTCACTCGGAACACCCGCCGGATGACCAAATAACCCGGGAAATTCGGAAAATAACCTGTTTTCACCCGGATTCCTTAGCCTTCAGACTGATTTGATATAAAGTGATTTCAATGAAATACCGGCAAATTTTGTAATTCTTCCTGGACAAGAAGTTCAATTAGCTGTGTTAACTCAGCTCAATTGACCCATTTCAGTGCATGGCTTCACTTGACAGCTTTGGTGTCAAACACACTGTTAATTAACACCAATTACCTTAGCTTTAGGTTGTAAATAACTTGTGTATTTCAAAGTTGTTTTAAAAACAATTTGAGTTACTTCCCCTTTTTTGTCAATTCACAATATACTCCTTAAACTTTTTTGTAAAAAAATTAAACCTAAAATGAATTGAATGTACAAACATATCAGAATAATACTTTTACTTATTATTCTACCTTAGAACAATTAAGAAATAAAAAATTTTGAAAATTACTTTTTTCATCTATACCTCTTTTAATTGTTTAACTTTATTTTATTATACTCTAATATCAACATATAATATATTCTACAATTTAAAAGCTGCACAAATATATGTAAAGAAAACACAAATTGGCACATTGTATGTCATGGAATGAATATTAACAGGAATAAAGGCAATGTAACACAAATCTATCAATGGCCTCCAGGTGCAGTGAAATAATAATATGTACAATTTTAAATTACTTAACCATGTGGACATGTTTTGGAAACTTTGATATAAATTATAAGAAAAATGTCCCCTAAATACTGAAATTCAGCTCGAAAAAGTTTTTACGTGCTATGACCTGAGATTTCATTCTTCTATGCAGGTCATCACCTGCATTTTCATTGTCATAGGTTGACAGGTATGCATGAGAGGCATTAAGTGAAATAAAAAGTTAGTTTAAAAAAATATCTAATATTTCATGTTAGCAATGACATAATTTTACCATCAATACAATATATCAATAGAGATATAAAAATAAGGAGATGTGGAATGATTGCCAGTGAGACAACTATCAGAATTCAAATAAAATGGATGTACATGTAAGCAATTATAGGCAACCATTAGGCCTTCAGCAATGAGAAAAACCAAAACCCTATAGTCAGCTATAAAAGGATCCGACTTAAAATATAAAACAATTCAATTGAGAAAACTAACAGCCTAGTTTATAACAAAACAATTTACGATAAACAAATATATTGATAAACTTTAACAGTGAATTTTCAAACCAAGAGCACCTAAGGTTATAGGCAAAAACCTCATTGGGAAATGAGACTAGGGAAATGCTTGATCTAATCATGAAACTTCTGTTGATTGTTTCTCCTTAATAATATAGATAAGGGACTGAAAAGTTCATGTCTCAGGCATTCAAAATAAAAAAATGTCATTTATGCTAACGAGAATATGCGACTTTCTTAAGCATGTTGGCTTGCAGTCAAGAGTAAACAACTTTAATATACATATATATGGTGAATAATTGTCTTATTGGCAATCATCCTACATCTTCTCATTTTTATACGACCGCAAAAAAATTTTGCGGTCGTATATTGGTATGACGTTGTCGTCGTTGGTGTCGGCGTCCGAAGACCCATTGGTTTTCGCACTCTAACTTAAGTTTAAGTGAATGGATCTCTATGAAATTTTACCATAAGGTTCAATACCACAAAAGGAAGGTTGGGATTGATTTTGGGGGTTATGGTACCAACAGTTAAGGAATTAGGGGCCAAAAATAAGCATTTTTATACGTCCGTTTACGGGACGTATTATGGTATACCTCTGTCCGTCTGTCCGTCCGTCCGTCTGTCCGTCTGTCCGTCCGTCGTCAACATGTCGGACATTAACTCAAAAATGCTTTAACCAATTTGCATAAAACTTTGGTGAATTGTTTATATCTATTGACGTGAGCTCCCTTTCGTTTTTTATACGACCGCAAAAATTAAAAATTTTTTGGTCGTATATTGGTATGACGTTGGCGTCGTCGTCTTTGTCGTCCGGCGTCGTCTGAAGACACATTGGTTTTCGCACTCTAACTTTAGTTTAAGTGAATGGATCTCCATGAAATTTTACCATAAGGTTCAATACCACGAAAGGAAGGTTGGGATTGATTTTGGGGGTTATGGTACCAACAGTTAAGGAATTAGGGGCCAAAAAGGGGCCAAAAATAAGCATTTTTGTAACTTCCAGACAATAACTTGTGTGTAAGTGTATGGATCTCTCTGACATTGAAACACAAGGTTCCATATCACAAAGGGAAGGCTGTAATTGATTTTGGGGGTACCCGGTAATTGCCTCAAAATTTTAGGAATAAGGGGCCAAAAAAGGGGCAAAAAACAAGCATTTTTCTAGTTTCATGACAATAACTTGTGTGTAAGTGTTTGGATATTTCTGAAATTATTCTACAAGGTTCCATATCACAAAGGGAAAGCTGGAATTGAGTTTGGGGGTAATTGCCCGAAACGTTTAGGAATTGGGGGCCAAAAAGGGGCCAAAAATAAGCATTTTTCTAGTTTCCAGACAATAACTTGTGTTCAAGTGTATGGATCTCTCTGAAATTGTACTGCAAGGTACCATACCACAAAGGGAAGGCTTGGATTGAGTTTAGGGGTGATGAATCATAAGGGGGTTCAAAAAATTTGGGGGGGGATTTTTTTTTTTTTTTTTTTTTCTTTTTTTCCTTTATTTTTTCTTTTAAAATTTTCCATTTTAAGTTGGTTATTTCTGATTTATATTTAAAAGCAAATAATAATGATATGGTAGGAGATACACACCAAACAGGATGTGTAAATTATTATATAATAAGTACATGTTTTGTATTGTGCAATAGCAAGAAATTTTCAATTGCACAGTATTGCACAATAGCAAGAAATCTTCAATTGCACAGTATTGCGCAATAGCAAGAAATCTTCAATTGCACAGTATTGCGCAATAGCAAGAAATATCCAATGGCACATTATTACGCAATAGCAAGAAATTGTCAATTGTACAGTATTGCGCAATAGCAAGAAATATTCAATTGCACAGTATTGTGCAAAAGAAGATACTTCGTATAAATTGCTTATTTCTTGATCAATTTCAATGGGGTTTTATTCTTGAATTCTTGGGGTTCTTTAATATGCTGAATCTAACCGTGTATTAAGTTTTTGGATTTTGGGCCCCGTTTTTAAATTGGTCCACATTGAGGTCCAAAGGGTCCAAAATTTAACTTTGTTTGATTTCATCAAAAATTGAATTATTGGGGTTCTTTGATATGCCAAATCTAACCGTGTATTTAGATTCTTAATTTTTGGTTCCGTTTTCAAATTGGTCTACATTAAGGTCCAAAGGGTCCAAAATTAAACTTAGTTTGATTTTAACAAAAATTGAATTTTTAGGGTTCTTTGATATGCTGAATCTAAACATGTATTTAGATTTTTGATTATGGGCCCAGTTTTCAAGTTGGTCCAAATCGGGGTCCCAAATTAAACTTTGTTTGATTTCAACAAAAATTGAATATATTGAGTTCTTTGATATGCTGAATCTAACCATGTATTTAGATTTTTGATTTATGGGCCCCGTTATCAACTTTTTCCACATTGAGGTCAAAAGGGTCCAAAATAAAACTTTGTTTGATTTCATCAAAAATTGAATCTTGGGGTTCTTTGATATGCTGAATCTAACCATGTATTTAGATTTTGGATATTGGACCATAATAGGTGAATGTCCAATTTAAAATTTTTAAGTTCTTAGACCACATTCATTCTGTGTCAGAAACCTATGCTGTGTCAAATATTTAATCACAATCCAAATTCAGAGCTGTATCAAGCTTGAATGTTGTGTCCATACTTGCCCCAACTGTTCAGGGTTCGACCTCTGTGGTCGTATCAAGCTGCGCCCTGCGGAGCATTTTATTATAAATTTTAGATTTTATGTTTCAGAGTTATGGGGTTTTATTCATTAAAAAAAGGGGGATTTTCCAATTTTCGGACAATAACTCAAGAATACTTTCACCAACTTGCAAGAAATTGTGGTGAATTGTTTATATCTATTGACATGAGCTCCCTTTCGATTTTTATAAATTTTAGATTTTATGTTTCCGAGTTACAGGGTTTTATTAAAAAAAAGGGGGATTTTCCAGTTTTCAGACAAATACTCAAAAATGCTTTCAGCAGTTCTTATGAAACTTTGGTGAATTGTTTATATCTATTGATGTAAGCTCCCTTTAGAATTTTATAAATTTTACATTTTACATTTCTGAGTTATGGGGTTTTATTCATTAAAAAAGGGGGATTTTCCAGTTTTCTGACAATAACTCAAAAATGCTGTCAGCAATTCTCATGAAACTTCGGTGAATTGTTTATATTTATTGATGTAAGCTCCTATTGATTTTCATAATTTTCTAATATGACATTGAGAATTAATTGAACTTTATTTGTTTATAAAATTGAGAATGGAAATGGGGAATGTGTCAAAGAGACAACAACCCGACCACAGAACAGACAACAGCAGAAGGCCACCAACAGGTCTTCAATGCAGCGAGAAATTCCCGCACCCGGAGGCGTCCTTCAGCTGGCCCCTAAACAAATATATATACTAGTCTGACAACAGATTTACTAAGTATTGCGCAACAGCACAGTGTATTGCACAACAGCAAGAAATCTTTAATTGAATATAAATTCAATTCATATAACCAATTTCAAGTTCTTTGACTACATTTATTCAGAAACCTGTAATATGTCAAATATTTAATTACAATCCAAATTCAGACCTGTATCAAGTTTGAATATTGTGTCCATTTTTGCCCCAACTGTTCAGGGTTGGACCTCTGCGGGCGTATCCAGCTGCGCTCAGCGAAGCAGTTTTTTGTAACTTCCAGACATAACTTGTGTGTTAGTGTATGGATCTCTCTGACATTGTACCACAAGGTTCCATATCACAAAGGGAACGCTGGGATTGATTTTGGGGGTAATTGCCTCAGAATTTAAGGAATTAGGGGCCAAAAAAGGGGCAAAAAACAAGCATTTTTCTAGTTTCATGACAATAACTTGTGTGTAAGTGTATGGATCTTTCTGAAATTATACTACAAGGTTCCATATATCAAAGGGAAAGCTGGAATTGAGTTTGGGGGTAATTGCCCAAAACGTTTAGGAAAAATGGCCAAAAATAAGCATTTTTCTAGTTTCCAGACAATAACTTGTGTTCAAGTGTATGGATCTCTCTGAAATTGTACTGCAAGGTACCATACCACAAAGGGAAGGATGGGATTGATTTTGGGGGTAATTGCCTCAAAATTTTAGGAATTAGGGGCCAAAAAGGGGCAAAAAACAAGCATTTTTCTAGTTTCAGGACACTTACTTGTGTGTACGTGTATGGATCTTTATGAAATTGTACTGCAAGGTTCCATATCACAAAGGGAAAGCTGGGGTTGAGTTTGGGGGTAATTGCCCTAAACGTTTAGGAATTTGGGGCCAAAATAGGGCCAAAAAACAAGCATTTTTCTAGTTTCCAGACAATAACTTGTGTTCACGTGTATAGATCTCTCTGAAATTGTACTGCAAGGTACCATACCACAAAAGGAAAGCTGGGATTGAGTTTGGGGGTGATGAATCATAAGGGGGTTCACAAAATTGGGGAGGGGGATTTTTTTTTCATTTTTTTTTTCTTTAAAATTTTCCATTTTAAATTGGTTATTTCTGATTTATATATAAAAGCAAATAATAATGATATGGTTTGAATAGGTAAATTAAAATTTTTTATGTTCTTAGACCACATTCTTTCTGTGTCAGAAACCTATGCTGTGTCAAATATTTAATCACAATCCAAATTCAGTGCTGTATCAAGCTTGAATGTTGTGTCCATACTTTCCCCAACTGTTCAGGGTTCGACCTCTGCGGTCGTATCAAGCTGCGCCCAGTGGAGAATTTTATTATATTATACAAACTGTCTTATCTAAGCTTTCCAGTTATGTTTTTTTTTCGTTGCAGATAATGCTGTTAGGTACAATGAAATGAGTCTTCGTCAAAATGGAGCCATCTTGGATTATTGTAGGACGTCAATGTCATCATTATCAGGTGCTGCGGCTGGAATTCTTGGATTGACAGGACTACAAGGCTTTGCATTTTATTTTGTTACAGCATTGTTATTGTCGGTAAATAATATTAAATTTACTTTAATTTCATGCACATTGCTCATTAACTTCCTGTTTACCATATACTGATTGTAAAAATGATTAGGAATAATATTTACTGAAAGAAAGGAGGAAATCCCATTTCAATTTTTGAACATCTCAATATTCCATGTGTTTTCTAAGGCAAGCTTTATAACTGATTAGTATTGCTTAGTAAATATACATATGAATAAAGGAATGATTCACATAATTCACGAGAACAGGACATAAGATTGTGTATACATTAAAAATAACTTGTTAAACATTCAAATACATTGTATTTTTGTTCCTTTTCCAGGTGATGTTAATGTTCAAGGCTGGTGGATCATGGAATAAATATTTTGTAACAAGAAGAGACCTTTTTATAAGCGGACTATTTGGAGGAATATTTGTATCCTTTTATTCAATGAAATAAATTCTTTGCATTATTGAAAAAATAACTTGAATACTGGTAAAAAAAATTTACCCTTTGTAAATTCTTATTCTATAACTATATGTAACACCTGCAAAAGGGTAGGATTTATCAATCTTCTGTTTATATCTCCTGCAACAAAGTTGCTGAGGTTGTTATTTTTTATTATCCATCAATTTTTTTAGCAAGTTTGATATTCTTTTATCCAATCCAAAACAAATTTGATTATTTAAATTTATTTTTTTCCCAATCTTAGCGGATTTAGAGAAGAAGGAAAACTATTGAAATGTAAACTTTTTTAAAGATAAGGAACTTACAATTACTACACATAATTATTAATGATAAACTTCAGATGAATTTGGTTATCTGGAAAGGGGAAAACAGCATCTTTCAATATGGTACTTGATATTCATCATTTACAAATTGAAACTGAGTACTATGGACACAGGACAAATCTTGTTAGAAACCAGTTTTTATACGACCTCAAAAAAATTTTGTGGTCGTATATTGGTATGACGTTGGTGTCGTCGACGTCGTTGTCGTCCGGCGTCGTCGTCCGAAGACACATTGGTTTTCGCACTCTAACTTTAGTTTAATTAAATGGATCTTTTTGAAATTTGACCATAAGGTTAAATACCACAAAAGGAAGGTTGGGATTGATTTTGGGGGTTATGGTACCAACAGTTAAGGAATTAGGGGCCAAAAAGGGGCCAAAAATAAGCATTTTCTAGTTTCCAGACAATAACTGTGGAACGGTGTATGGATCTCTCTGAAATTATACTACAAGTTTCCATACCACAAAGGGATGGTTAGGATTTGCTTTGGGGGGTTATGGCTCAAACCGTTTAGGAATTAGGGGCAAAAAAGGGGGAAAAACAAGGTTGTCCTGGTTAATGGACAAATACTTTAGTACAAACCATAATTTAAAGCAGTGTAAGGGAGATAAATCAAATACATCATTGAAATTATCTCCCTTACACTGCTTTTAAATTATGTATAAAGTAATGGTTAATGAACAATAAAGATAATTTAAAACAGTGTAAGGGAGGTAATCCAAATACAACGTTTTGGTTACTTCCCTTACACTGCTTTTAAATTATGTTTAAAGAAATGCATATTTATAAAGGAAGACCAGTAAAAATATCTGCAAATGTTGCATCTTTTTTTTTTACAAAAAAATCCATATGAAAGATTTGACACTATATTTTTAATTCTATTATAAAATAGATTAAGATGGGTAATTATGGTTGCCAACTCCATTGGAAATTTGAATTGAGATTATGACCATATCATGAGGGAAAGAATTTTTTTGGGGAAAAAAGGAGGGGGGGGGTAAAAAGAAATTGTGGGGTCAATTTTTCTCATTTCAGATTTCAGAAATTAAAAATATTATTCTTCAAATATTATTTTTTTTCAAATTTCAAATATTGAAAAATTTCAAGAAGAAATCTTTAATTGCACAGTATGGCGCATTAGATTTGTAAAATCTTTGATCACATTTATTTATTTGTTATGCCGAATCCAACAGTGTATTTAGATATTAAATTTTGGGTCCAGTTTTCAAATTGGTCTACATTAAGGTCCAAAGGGTCCAAAATTAAACTTTGTTTGATTTTAGCAAAAATTGAATATATGAGGTTCTTTGATATGCTGAATCTAAACATGTATTTAGATTTTTGATTTTTGGCCCAGTTTTCAAGTTGGTCCAAATTGGGGTCCAAAATTAAACTTTGTTTGATTTCAACAAAAATTGAATATATGGGGTTCCTTGATATGCTGAATCTAACCATGTATTTAGATTTTTTATTTGTGGACCCCGTTATCAAATTGGTTCATATTGAGGTCAAAAGGGTCCAAAATTAAACTTTGTTTGATTTCATCTAAAATTGAATTATTGGGGTTCTTTGATATTCCAAATCTAACTGTGTATTTAGATTTTTAATTTTGGGTCCTGTTTTTTAAATTGGTCTACATTAAGGTCCAAAGGGTCCAAAATTAAACTTAGTTTGATTTTAACAAAAATTGAATTCTTGGGGTTCTTTGATATGCTGAATCTAAACATGTGTTTAGATTTTTGATTATGGGCCCAGTTTTCAAGTTGGTCTAAGATAGGGTCCAGTATTTAAACTTTTTGTTTGATTTCAACAAAAATTGAATATATGGGGTTCTTTGATATGCTGAATCTAAACATGTATTTAGATTTTTGATTATGGGCCCAGTTTTCAAGTTGGTCCAAATTGGGGTCCAAAATTAAACTTTGTTTGATTTCAACAAAAATTGAATATATGAGGTTCTTTGATATGCTGAATCTAACCATGTATTTAGATTTTTTATTTGTAGGCCCCGCTATCAAATTGGTTCATATTGAGGTCAAAAGGGTCCAAAATTAAACTTTGTTTGATTTCATCAAAAATTGAATTATTGGGGTTCTTTGATATGCCAAATCCAACCGTGTTTTTAGATTTTTAATTTGGGTCCCGTTTTTTAAATTGGTCTTCATTGAGGTCCAAAGGGTCCAAAATTAAACTTAGTTTGATTTTAGCAAAAATTGAATTCTTGGGGTTATTTAATATGCTGAATCTAAACATGTGTTTAGATTTTTGATTATGGGCCCAGTTTTCAAGTTTGTCCAAGTTGGGGTCCAAAATTAAACTTTGTTTGATTTTAACAAAAATTGAATATATGGGGTTCTTTGATATGCTGAATCTAACCATGTATTTTGATTTTGGACATTGGACCATAATAGGTAAGTTAAAAAAATTCAAGTTCTTAGACCACATTCTTTCTGTGTCAGAAACCTATGCTGTGTCAAATATTTAAAAACAATCCAAATTCAGAGCTGTATTAAGCTTGAATGTTGTGTCCATACTTGCCCCAACTGTTCAGGGTTCGACCTCTGCGGTCGTATCAAGCTGCGCCCCAGCGAAGCATTTTATTTTATCTATTAAGATACAAAATTTCATTTGCTTCTTTAGATACAATGTAAATGGAAAATGGTAATTTTAATCATTTGCCTGGACCAGAAGAAATTCTGAATCCTTATTAGATCAACATTTGCATATTAAAAGATATATTTTATACCAAGTAATAAGTAAATGAGAGAAGACCCTTTTTATACGACCGCAAAAATTAAAAAATTTTTTGTCGTATATTGGTATCACGTTGTCTTCGTCAGCGTCGTCCGAAGACAGATGGTTTCCGGATAATAACTTTAATATAAGCAAATAGAAATCAATAAAATTTAAACACAAGGTTTATAACCACTAAAGGAAGGTTGGGATTGATTATGGGGGTTATGGTCCCAACTGTTTAGGAATAAGGGGCCCAAATAAGTATTTTTGTAGTTTCCAGACAATAACTTGTGTTAAAGTGTATGAATCTCTCTGAAATTATACCACAAACTTCCATACAACAAAGGGATAGTTTGGGGGGTTATGGCTCAAACCATTTAGTAGTTAGGGGCAAAAAAAGGGGAAAAACAAGGGTTTTTCTGGTTAAAGGACAAATGAGACAATTTAAAAGCAGTGTAAGGGAGTTAATCCAATTCAAATGAAAGAACACTGTTTGATTACCTCCCTTACACTGCTTGTAAATTATGTATTAAGAAATGATGATTGTCTTGAGGTGATTAGCTGTCAATTTATTTTTAGCAGTTACTATTAATTAATATTAATTTTAGCCATGACTATGTATGTCATTTTATATTTTAAAACTTTTATGATGTATTTAAATGGGTAATTTTGGTTGCAAACTGCATTAGAAATTTGATTTGAGATACTGACCATATCTCGAGGGAAAGAATTTTTTTGGGGAATAAGGGAAAGGGGGGAGGTGAAAAAAATTGGGAGCGGTGACAATTTTTCTCATTTCAGATTGCAGAAATTAAAAGAAAATTTCTTCAAATATTTTTTTTTGGGGGGGTTAATATTCAACAGCATAGTGTATTGCACAAAAGCAAAAAAAAACGGGGTAAAATAAATTTTTTTTGGTAGGGGGGGGGGGGGGGTCAATTCGCAACAGCATAGTGTATTGCACAAAAGCAATAAATTGAATATAAATTCAAATCATATAACCAATTTGAAGTTCTTTGACTACAGTTATTCTGTGTCAAAAATTTAGTTACAATCCAAATTCAGACCTGTATCAAGCGTGAATATTGTGTCCATTTTGGCCCAACTTTTCAGGGTTGGACATCTGCGGTCGTATCCAGCTGCGCTCAGCGAAGCAATTTATTTTCTCATTACACAATATCAAAATTTATATGGCTTCTGGCTTGTATCTAAAAGTTAATTTTTTGGTCACGAGTTTTATTAACCTTCACTGTCTGTCGAGTATGTTACATCATTTCTTAAATTGATGTATTGAAAAATGAACATGAAATAATTTTTGGGAAATTGAATTCTCATTTATGTTTTGAACTTGATCAATCATGTAATAATACTAAAAAGCTGTCAACATTTAAAGTTTAGTAAAATTATATTATTTACACTCATTGCATGTATTTGATTGATATAAGTTGTTTTCCTTAACTTCTTTTTCAGACATATATTTTATTTTGGACGTATCCTTTTGGTGTACCAAAATTATTAACAGGTGTTCTCATAACCAGGTCCGTTGTACCAACTTAAGCTATCACCAATTCATGGGTGCCTGTTACCATTGTATAATTTGTCCTTTGGCAATAACCATTACACCTCATGGGTAACATTGTAGTTTTAAAGTGAAAATTGGCCATTATTGTTGTCCCCTGCTTCAACAGGGAGCAGGGACATAGAAATACTGGTCATTGGTACGACTGATCTTGTATGGGCTCTTATTCCTAAATCTTTCCAAATCTTTAGGAAATTTGTATCAAAGGTTTATACCAGCAATATCTAGAACAAGTATTAAAAATCAGTGCAGATAGACTATTTTAACAGGAGATATTATAGCCCTTAATAATTTAAATTTAATGGAATGTTATATTGCTAGACCTGCTACCCCTGCAATTCTTGTTGGATTTTTATGCCGCTGCCGTAGGGGATGGGAGCATTAAGTGTTACCTTGACCGTCCATCCCTCCCATTTTGTTTGTTTGAAGCTTGAGTGGGGGCATTCGTGTCCTCGGACACATTCTTCATTAATTTTTTATCAGGAATAAAAGATGATACCTGGTATATATCAATGACAGAGCAACATAAGGACACATTATCTAAAAAAAAACCATTTAGATGCAACATATTAAAGGTACTGGTATATATCAGCAATGGACAAGTTCAAACTTAGTGCCAATCAACTTTTTCATGAGAGTTGTGCTCTTGGAAAAGTAAGTTTTATGGAAATTTGCCTTTGTAAGCACTCTTAAGCCTATGTGTGCATTAAATTTACATATTTTGAGTGGCTTATAGAATGATGGGTGATAGGTTTGAGGATGGGGAAAAGTGGGTACCTAATATTTGTTATCAACCCCTACAGTTTTCAACCCAAACCCTTAAAACTTCACATAAAGATTGTGCATACAATGTATGTTGAAGTTGAGCACCTGCTATAATGGAATTGTTTGAGGAATTTTTTTCTCATTTTTTCCAGACTTCGGAGTATGGTCTTCTCTCAGCAAAATTTATGAAGGGGGTACATGTTTTGTGTTTTCAACTCTTGCTTCAGTTTTAAACCCAAATCCCTGAAACTTCACAGGAAGATAGCACATATGTAGAAGTTGTGAACCTACTAATATGGAATTGTTTGTGATTTTTTTTCTCATTTTTCCAGACTTGAGATCTCAGTCTTTTTTCAGCCAAATTTATGAAAGAAAGAACAAGTTTTCTACTTCTACAGTTTTCAACCAAGATCCCTGAGACTTCACAGAAATATTCTACATTGATTAGTCACAAATATTGTAACCAGGCCAATTTTGACTTTGACCCATTTTTATACGCCCGTTTACGGGACGTTTTATGGTATACTGTTGTCCGTCCGTCTGTCCGTCCGTCGTCAACATGTCGGACATTAACTCAAAAACGCTCCAACTAATTTGCATAAAACTTTAGTGAATTGTTTATATCTATTGACATGAGCTCCCTTTCGTTTTTTATAAATTTTAGATTTTACTTTTCCAAGTTATGGGGTTTTATTCATTAAAAAAAGGGGGGTTTTCCAGTTTTCAGACAATAACTCAAGAATGCTTTCACCAACTTGCAAGAAATTGTGGTAAATTGTTTATATCTATTGACATGAGCTCCCTTTCTATTTTTATATATTTTAGATTTTATGTTTCCTAGTAACAGGGTTTTATTCATAAAAAAAGGGGGATTTTCCAGTTTTCGGACAAAAAAATCAAAAATGCTTTCAGCAGTTCTTATGAAACTTTGGTGAATTGTTTATATCTATTGATGTAAGCTCCGTTTAGAATTTTATAAATTTCACATTTTACATTTCTGAGTTATGGGGTTTTATTCATTAAAAAAGGGGGATTTTCCAGTTTTCGGACAATAACTCAAAAATGCTGTCAGCAATTCTCATGAAACAATTGGTGAATTGTTTATATCTATTGATGTAAGCTCCCTTTACATTTTCATAAATTTCTAATATGATATTGAGAATTAATTGAACTTTAATTGTTTATAGTCTGACAACAGATTTACTAAGTATTGCGCAACAGCACAGTGTATTGCACAACAACAAGAAATCTTTAATTGAATATAAATTCAATTCATATAACCAATTTCAAGTTCTTTGACTACATTTATTCAGAAACCTATAATATGTCAAATATTTAATACAATCCAAATTCAGACCTGTATCAAGCTTGAATATTGTGGCGTCAACAATGTATTAGTTTGTGATTAGGTCTAGTTCATGGTGCACCACTAGTGGTAGGTCAATGAGATTTGGTATGCAGTTGTATTAGCATTGGCACATCTCATTACCATGGATATTATTTGGCCCCGCCCCCTCAGTCAAGGTCTATTGACTTTGAAACTTTTCATAGTTTACATGTATTAGTTTGTGATTAGGTCAATTCATGGGGAACCACTAGTGGAAGGTCAATGATATTTGGTATGCAGTTGTATAAGCATTTGCATATCTCATTTCCATGGAGATTATTTGGCTCTGCCCCTTAGTCATGGTCTATAGACTTTGAAAATTTTGCTAAGTGAACATATATTAGTTTTTGATTAGGTCAGTTCAAGGGAAACCATTAGTAGTAGGTCAATGTTAATTGGTGTTCAGTTGTATAAGCATTAGCACATCTCATTTCCATGGAGAATATTTGGCCCTGCCCCCTCAGTCATGGTCCCATTACTTTGAAAATTTTGCTTAGTTTACATGTATTAGTTTGTGATTAGATCAGTTTAAGATGAACTGCTAATGTTAAGTCAATGATATTTGGTATGCAAATGTATTGGCATTTGCAAGTATCGTTTCCATGGAGATTATATAGCCCCACCCCTGATCATGGTTCATTGACTTTGAAACTTTTACATAGTTTACAAGTTATTGTTTGTGTTTAGGTTTGTTTAAAGGGAATGACTTATAATAAGTCAATGGTATTTGGTATGCAGTTGTATAAGTTAGTATTGGCACATCTCATTCCATGGAGATTGTTTAGCCATGTACCTTCAGTCATGGTTCATCGACTTTGAATATTTGCATAACTTACATGTTAAAGTATTGCTATTTTAATTTCAACATTTGCATTATCAAAATTACAAAAAGGCGAGACATATCTCTGTGATAACAGTTTATTTTAAAAGAGGTAGATAATTTGATTTAATGACCTTTCACCTCTCAAAGACATATTTGTCTATTTCTTTCAATTGCCAAGGGACAAATCTTGAATCTTCTCAAGTTTTGCTTTTGATAATATTTTTAACTGTCCTGGCCCATCAACCAGTCTAGAAGTTGTTAATTAAAAAATCCAATTTAAGCTGTCCTGGCCCATCAACCAATCTAGAAGTTGATTCTAAAAAATCAAATTTAAGCGGGGAAATTTACAAAAAATTCAAATGAAAAATCCTGTAAAGATTAAAACATCTTAACTCAGGGGAAGCAGTTCATTGGAGACCCTTATAAGACTTACATGTTACAACCCTACCCACTATCATAGGTCAAACTTTAGCATTTTGCCTAAGGTTTCAAAATTATTTTAGATAAACAGAAATTGAATTATTATTGATAACAGTAAAAATTATCAACAATACAAAATTTTCAAAATAGCCAATATAAGGGGACGACCATTTGATATTCTGGGGGGGGAGGAGGATTTTGAAAATAAAATAAATAACTCAGCCTTGATAATCACAAAAATAAATGGTTTGTTCTGTGGTAGTTCGAAAATAAATAACCTGACTTACAATGTATTGAAAATGAATAACTCGGCAGGTCTTTAAGCCATTTTATAAATGCTATTCGAAAGTATGAGGTGGCACCAGATTCTTCATAAAATTCATCTTTTTTTCAAAAAAAAATTCGGCAAACACTTCCCAAATCTTTTAATAATAAAGGTATAAATATTATTTAAATATACTTGAAATGTCTGAAAATGGGTTTCATTTAACTTGAGGTATATTGGCTCAGGAACACTTACCTCACTTTTATTACAGGGCTGTAACTACATTGAGGCAAATGCCTTTATGTAGGAAATTTTAAAACCAAAAGCTTGTCTTCATATCAAATTTTTTTCACAGCAAGTGTTTGCAAGAAGCAAGTTCTGTTCTCCCTTGGACGTAGCACCTGTTTTTTCGGGATCAATGTTTCCTTAAATTTGTCTTTTGTTCATTGATTGCCCTTCTGTATTCTCTTAGTGTTGCATTCCTTTTGTGATTTAGTAATTTTGTTTTCAACTTGATAATGAGTTTTATTTTATTTAAGACTTTTTAGCTAATTTTACAACTTAACTACTTTAAATTGTATCCCAGTTAAGAGCTACATCAAGTTGTAATTGAAATGTGTTATTAAAAATGACTTGACATAGTTATATCACTGATAATCAGCCCCCTCTTAACTTAATTTGAATAAAACTCCATATAATTTACATGTATAAAAGATTTAAATTCTGCATGCCGAAACAACAACATAAAAAACAAAAAAACAAAAAAACCAGCAGCCACATACTTAACGTTGTGAATTACATTTTTACTTTATTCTTCATATTGGTCTTTTGATGTTGTCCATAAAAACTTAAGTCTTACGCTGAATCTATACATTTTGCTTTGAGACCAAAATATTGTCAAAAAATTATTAAAACAGAACTTGCGTTTTCAGAATAAGAAAGGGTCTGGGAACGCCCAGAAAGCATGATTTTGCATCATTTGTTCTATAGTTTCTTTGGGCCTTCAGCGGCTTTAAAACCCTTCAAAATTTGTTTGCCTCGCTCTGCTCGGTGAAAATATATTTGGCAAAACTTTTAAAAGAGGCTAGTCACAGCCCAACTCTAATACCGTGTATGTATGCAATACATGTATATGCAGTTGGGAATTCAGAACATTCATTTCCACAGAGGATGATGATTAATTCTGATTAAATGGTACATTAATGACTTGACTGTACATGTATTATTTATAATAAAAAATGAATTTAAAAATTGTATGTTTTCAAATATTATTAATATAGTTATGAAAATAAATAATCAGTCCCTTGTTTTAATGAAAATGAAAAATCATGCTTCAACAGTGCAGAAAATAAATAATCTGTCCTCTTAGTTTACAAAAATAAATAACCGATCCAAACAAATCCTAATGGGAATTATTTCTAAAACATGTGATACAAGTGGAAAATATCAATAAATTTGCTCATCACTTGGCTCCGTTGTCCGTCGTCGTTAACTTTTTACATTTTGAACTTCTTCTAGAGAACCACTGTATGGAATGAAACCAAACATGGTATGAATGTTCCTTATAAAGTGATGACCAAGTGTTGTTACTTTGTAGCCGATCCATCATCCAAGATGGCCGCCAGCGGGGGACTTAGTTTAACATAGGACCCAATGGGAAATACATACAAATGTCTTCTTTTAGAGAACCACTAAATGGAATGCAACCAAACATGGCATGAATGTTCCTTATGAGGTGCTGACCAAGTGTTGTTACTTTGAAGCTGATCCATCATCCAAGATGGCCGCCAGCGGGGGACTTAGTTTAACATAGGACCCTATGGGAAATACATGCAAATGTCTTCTTTTAGAGAACCACTGAATGGAATGAAACCAAACATGACATGAATGTTCCTTATGAAGTGATGACCAAGTGTTGTTACTTTAAAGCCGATCCATCATCCAAGATGGCCACCAGATGGGGACAATGTTTAACAAAGGACCCTATGGACAATACATACAAATGTCTTCTTTTAGAGAACCACATACTGAATGGATTGAAACCAAACATGGCATAAATGTTCCTTATGAGGTGCTGACTAAGTGTTGTTACTTTGAAGCTCATCCTTCATCCACGATGGCCGCCAGTGGGGGGACTTCCTTTAACATAAGACCCTATGGGAAATACAGAAGCAGATTTGGATTAGAATATGCATTGCATATGAATTTTAAAGACATGATTAAACAGTGAAGACCTTTAACCACTCTACTGTACTTGATTGAATTGATTTCAAAAAGCATTTTTTCTTGAAAAGTTGGTTTTTCTTATGTTGAAATATATTATACGCACATAAAAAGAGCTGTGATGGTGTAAGTTAACTAGTACTATAAGTAAACTCACAAAAGGATCCCATATAATCAGAAACACATTTACTTATCTCTCCTTTAATTAACATGTTGGTCAGGGATTTTATTCCATTATGCACATCCTCAGGTAGTGTTCTACAGTTGTGTAAAGTTTCATCAACATCTTTCCAGCCATTGAGGAGGAGTTGTGCTTACTAGAGACTATTACCACATATTGCAAGTAAGTTGGAATATCTTCTTTAAATGTGGGACCAGGATTATATTCCTGTATGGATATCCTTGGGTAGTGCTGTACAAATGTGTGAAGATGAAATCATTATTTGTCCTGCTGTTTAGGTAGAGTTATACAGATAAGGCACAAGGAAAGATGGTCCAACTGGTTTATTCCAGTATACCCCCAAGAGGAAAGTTTTTTGGGCTGAGACTACTATATACAGTTTGGATATAATGAGATTGCAACTCAATGTCAGAATAGTCTTTCTTTATTTATTTGTTCTTCTATCCAACCTTTGTGAGTTGAAGTTGATGTCCTTAGTTTTTTTTTACAATTAGCTTTGGTATACAGTCTGGTTGAAATGTCTAAAAAATGTGCATTTGCCTGTTGCAAGTCAGGAACTTGTCAGTGGTTGTCCTATGCTTTATCCTGTATTTTCATTTGTTAATGATAGTTTTTGTTTAATTTATCAGTTTTAGACGGGGGGGATTCACATATCTTGCCATACTTTATTAACATTTGTATGTTTATTGAAGACTATGATTGATTACTTAATGTCTTTGGTTATTTGTATTGTTTGGTTAATGTCTTTGGTTATTTGTATTGTTTGGTTGCTGCCTTATTGATTACAAACTCACATCTCCTTTTATTCATAGCATACGCATTCGTGGAATTAAAATTAAAAAAAAAATCCTTAACATTGGTAAAGATTTTTATATGGAATGGTGCATGTGTATTAACAAACATGGGAGAAAGATTCAAGTATAGTCAGAAACATCATTGACAGAACCAGTTTCAAATTGAATCCTAGAAGAGACAAATTGGAAGGGAAACATCAAAGACTACCAGCATTCCTTAAAGTACATGTTTATTGTGAATGATGAGATTCTAAGACCTTCTTCATTTGATATTTATATATTTTTAGCACCTGTGTATTTTTACAAAAGCTGATACTGTTGTTTTCCTGAATTTAAACATTTCTTCAGGACTATGAATACACTTATTTAATTCATTGTATAATTTTTATAATGAAAAATGTTTTCATAGTTCAAGCTTTCTACCCAGGACCATAAAAATAATGTTTCCATATGATCAAATTGTTTTTTGGTCTAAAATGTTGTTGTAACTATGTTGTTATATATTTCAAATAAATTTAGTATGAAATGCTGCAGTTTCTGTAATTGAAAGAAAAATCAAACTTTGGAAATTCAGAGGGAATATTTTACTATTAAATCTTATAGTAATGCAATGTTTTTATTAATGACAAGAATGGTACAGGCTGAACATCACAATAGGTTTGTGTGCATATATAAGTGGTTTAACCCCACCACATTGTGTGCTAGAACCAAGTAAGGCAATCTGGACCATATGTTGTTTATTGTTGTCCTTGTTTGTATTTCTGTTTATTTTTTCTCATAGATGTCAGTGGTTTATGTGGTCTGATGTACTGTATGGTAATATTCCTGTTTTGTCAGTGGTTTATGTGGTCTGATGTACTGTATGGTAATATTCCTGTTATGTCAGTGGTTTATGTGGTCTGATGTACTGTATGGTATTATTCCTGTTATGTCAGTGGTTTATGTGGTCTGATGTACTATATGGTATTATTCCTGTTATGTCAGTGGTTTATGTGGTCTGATGTACTGTATGGTATTATTCCTGTTTTGTCAGTGGTTTATGTAGTCTGATGTACTGTATGGTATTATTCCTGTTTTGTCATTGGTTTATGTGGTCTGATGTACTGTATGGTATTATTCCTGTTATGTCAGTGGTTTATGTGGTCTGATGTACTGTATGGTATTATTCCTGTTTTGTCAGTGGTTTATGTAGTCTGATGTACTGTATGGTATTATTCCTGTTTTGTCAGTGGTTTATGTGGTCTGATGTACTGTATGGTATTATTCCTGTTATGTCAGTGGTTTATGTGGTCTGATGTACTGTATGGTATTATTCCTGTTTTGTCAGTGGTTTATGTGGTCTGATGTACTGTATGGTATTATTCCTGTTTTGTCAGTGGTTTATGTGGTCTGATGTACTGTATGGTATTATTCCTGTTATGTCAGTGGTTTATGTGGTCTGATGTACTGTATGGTATTATTCCTGTTATGTCAGTGGTTTATGTGGTCTGTTGTACTGTATGGTATTATTCCTGTTTTGTCAGTGGTTTATGTGGTCTGATGTACTGTATGGTATTATTCCTGTTATGTCAGTGGTTTATGTGGTCTGATGTACTGTATGGTATTATTCCTGTTATGTCAATGGTTTATGTGGTCTGGTGTACTGTAGGGTAGTAATCACTGTTATGTCAATGGTTTATGTGGTCTGGTGTACTGTATGGTTTTATTCCTGTTATGTCAGTGGTTTATGTGGTCTGGTGTACTGTATGGTATTATTCCTGTGGTTTATGTGGTCTGGTGTACTGTATGGTATTATTCCTGTTTTGTCAGTGGTTTATGTGGTCTGATGTACTGTATGGTATTATTCCTGTTTTGTCAGTGGTTTATGTGGTCTGATGTACTGTATGGTATTATTCCTGTTATGTCAGTGGTTTATGTGGTCTGATGTACTGTATGGTATTATTCCTGTTATGTCAGTGGTTTATGTGGTCTGATGTACTGTATGGTATTATTCCTGTTTTGTCAGTGGTTTATGTGGTCTGATGTACTGTATGGTATTATTCCTGTTATGTCAGTGGTTTATGTGGTCTGATGTACTGTATGGTATTATTCCTGTTATGTCAATGGTTTATGTGGTCTGGTGTACTGTAGGGTAGTAATCACTGTTATGTCAATGGTTTATATGGTCTGGTGTACTGTATGGTTTTATTCCTGTTATGTCAGTGGTTTATGTGGTCTGATGTACTGTATGGTTTTATTCCTGTGATGTCAGTGGTTAATGTGGTCTGGTGTACTGTATGGTATTATTCCTGTTATGTCAGTGGTTTATGTGGTCTGATGTACTGTATGGTATTATTCCTGTTATGTCAGTGGTTTATGTGGTCTGATGTACTGTATGGTAATATTCCTGTGATGTCAGTGGTTTATGTGGTCTGATGTACTGTATGGTATAATTCCTGTGATGTCAGTGGTTTATGTGGTCTGATGTACTGTATGGTAGTATTCCTGTGATGTCAGTGGTTTATGTGGTCTGGTGTACTGTAGAGTTTTATTCCTGTTATGTCAGTGGTTTATGTGGTCTGGTGTACTGTAGGGTATTATTCCTGTTATGTCAGTGGTTTATTTGGTCTGATGTACTGTAGGGTAGTATTCCTGTTATGTCAGTGGTTTATGTAGTCTAATGTACTGTAGGGTATTATTTCTGTTATGTCAGTGGTTTATGTGGTCTGATGTACTGTATGGTATTATTCCTGTTATGTCAGTGGTTTATGTGGTCTGATGTACTGTATGGTATTATTCCTGTTATGTCAATGGTTTATGTGGTCTGTTGTACTGTATGGTATTATTCCTGTTATGTCAGTGGTTTATGTGGTCTGATGTACTGTATGGTTTTATTCCTGTGATGTCAGTGGTTTATGTGGTCTGGTGTACTGTATGGTATTATTCCTGTTATGTCAGTGGTTTATGTGGTCTGGTGTACTGTATGGTATTATTCCTGTGATGTCAGTGGTTTATGTTGTCTGATGTACTGTATGGTATTATTCCTGTGATGTCAGTGGTTTATGTGGTCTAATGTATTGTATGGTAATATTCCTGTGATGTCAGTGGTTTATGTGGTCTGATGTACTGTATGGTATTACTCTTGTTTTGTCAGTGGTTTATGTGGTCAGATGTACTGTATGGTATTATTCCTGTTTTGTCAGTGGTTTATGTGGTCAGATGTACTGTATGGTATTATTCCTGTTATGTCAGTGGTTTATGTGGTCTGATGTACTGTATGGTATTATTCCTGTTATGTCGTATGGTATTATTCCTGTTATGTCAGTGGTTTATGGGGTCTGATGTACTGTATGTTATTATTTCTGTTATGTCAGTGGTTTATGTGGTCTGATGTACTGTATGGTTGTATTCCTGTTATGTCAGTGGTTTATGTGGTCTGATGAACTGTATGGTATTATTCCTGTTATGTCAGTGGTTTATGTGGTCTGATGTACTGTATGGTAATATTCCTGTGATGTCAGTGGTTTATGTGGTCTGATGTACTGTAGGGTAGTAATCACTGTTATGTCAATGGTTTATGTGGTCTGGTGTACTGTATGGTTTTATTCCTGTTATGTCAGTGGTTTATGTGGTCTGATGTACTGTATGGTTTTATTCCTGTGATGTCAGTGGTTAATGTGGTCTGGTGTACTGTATGGTATTATTCCTGTTATGTCAGTGGTTTATGTGGTCTGATGTACTGTATGGTATTATTCCTGTTATGTCAGTGGTTTATGTGGTCTGATGTACTGTATGGTAATATTCCTGTGATGTCAGTGGTTTATGTGGTCTGATGTACTGTATGGTATAATTCCTGTGATGTCAGTGGTTTATGTGGTCTGATGTACTGTATGGTAGTATTCCTGTGATGTCAGTGGTTTATGTGGTCTGGTGTACTGTAGAGTTTTATTCCTGTTATGTCAGTGGTTTATGTGGTCTGGTGTACTGTAGGGTATTATTCCTGTTATGTCAGTGGTTTATTTGGTCTGATGTACTGTAGGGTAGTATTCCTGTTATGTCAGTGGTTTATGTAGTCTAATGTACTGTAGGGTATTATTTCTGTTATGTCAGTGGTTTATGTGGTCTGATGTACTGTATGGTATTATTCCTGTTATGTCAGTGGTTTATGTGGTCTGATGTACTGTATGGTATTATTCCTGTTATGTCAATGGTTTATGTGGTCTGTTGTACTGTATGGTATTATTCCTGTTATGTCAGTGGTTTATGTGGTCTGATGTACTGTATGGTTTTATTCCTGTGATGTCAGTGGTTTATGTGGTCTGGTGTACTGTATGGTATTATTCCTGTTATGTCAGTGGTTTATGTGGTCTGGTGTACTGTATGGTATTATTCCTGTGATGTCAGTGGTTTATGTGGTCTGATGTACTGTATGGTATTATTCCTGTGATGTCAGTGGTTTATGTGGTCTAATGTATTGTATGGTAATATTCCTGTGATGTCAGTGGTTTATGTGGTCTGATGTACTGTATGGTATTACTCTTGTTTTGTCAGTGGTTTATGTGGTCAGATGTACTGTATGGTATTATTCCTGTTTTGTCAGTGGTTTATGTGGTCAGATGTACTGTATGGTATTATTCCTGTTATGTCAGTGGTTTATGTGGTCTGATGTACTGTATGGTATTATTCCTGTTATGTCGTATGGTATTATTCCTGTTATGTCAGTGGTTTATGGGGTCTGATGTACTGTATGTTATTATTTCTGTTATGTCAGTGGTTTATGTGGTCTGATGTACTGTATGGTTGTATTCCTGTTATGTCAGTGGTTTATGTGGTCTGGTGTACTGTATGGTATTATTTCTGTTATGTCAGTGGTTTATGTGGTCTGGTGTACTGTATGGTTTTATTCCTGTTATGTCAGTGGTTTATGTGGTCTGATGTACTGTATGGTATTATTCCTATTATGTCAGTGGTTTATGTGGTCTGATGTACTGTATGGTATTATTCCTGTTATGTCAGTGGTTTATGTGGTCTGATGTACTGTATGGTATTATTTCTGTTATGTCAGTGGTTTATGTGGTCTGATGTACTGCATGGTTTTATTCCTGTTATGTCAGTGGTTTATGTGGTCTTATGTACTGTATGGTATTATTCCTGTTATGTCAGTGGTTTATGTGGTCTGATGTACTGTATGGTTTTGTTCCTGTTATGTCAGTGGTTTATGTGGTCTGATGTACTGTATGGTATTATTCCTGTTATGTCAGTGGTTTATGTGGTCTGATGTACTGTATGGTTTTATTCCTGTTTTGTCAGTGGTTTATGTGGTCTGATGTACTGTATGGTATTATTCCTGTGATGTCAGTGGTTTATGTGGTCTGATGTACTGTATGGTATTATTCCTGTGATGTCAGTGGTTTATGTGGTCTGGTGTACTGTATGGTATTATTCCTGTGAAATCCGTGGTTTATGTGGTCTGATGTACTGTATGGTATTATTCCTGTTTTGTCAGTGGTTTATGTAGTCTGATGTACTGTATGGTATTATTCCTGT